CGTGTGCAGAGGGCCGTGATGAAGCCATTCCACAGCAAATTTCAGAGCACTTCAGACTGCAGGGGCATCTGGATCTTTTCAAAATTTTCAACTATTTAAATGACATCTTTTTAAAAAATTTAGCATACCTGCATCCTCTTGCCACATCACTTGCTTTTATACAATTATCACCTCACTTTTAACTTCTAACCCTCTGGAAAAAATAAAACTTGGACAAATGTTAGCTCTGAACTGCTCTCAGAAATCTGCAGTGTGCAAACAAAACCCGTGAAGTGTTGCTTCTTTGATTCACCTCATTACTTAGAACCATAGGTCATTCTGTGTTCTGTTGGCAAAATCCTACATGTTTCATGGCTCTGTTTAAATAAAAAGCCTGCCTCGAAACATGCTTAATTTCTATGACCGTATTTAATTGTCTTCTTCCTAGCCATTCTATAGAAATAGGTTAATCTCTTTAATGGCAGTTTCTCTTTTCTTGAAAAAAAAAAAAAAAAAAAAAACATTTTTTTAACTTCCTTTTCTTATCTGTTTCCCTCTTTGCTTATAAGCATGTCTTTTGTACAGCCCATGCATATACTGGTTGGACCCATATTTAAATTACTACATGGTACTTTCTCACTTGTCAAGAATTATTGGGCACTTGCTGTACGCAGGGCAAAATTTCATGCCTTCTCAAAAGGACTAGAAATCTGAAATGGGGGTCTGCTCACTAGTTTTCTACAGATTTGAAAATTTACTGCATTGTGCAAAAAAAAGAGTTTAGGAGACAAAACAAATCATAACGTTTAAGGAAATATTCCTCCCAAAAGAGCTCAGTACTATTTTTAGTGCCTTATAGATATAAAGCCATTCTGTTAATTAAAACATGTATTTATTAGATTATACTTGGCTTCTTTGTATGTTTGGTATGTTTGATATGTAAAATAAATTGAAATGTTTTCATTTTCCACAGCATATGAAGGAACAGGAGCCTGAAAATAGAGTGAGTTGAGGACAGGAAATTCTATTTTGGTGAAAATATTAGTATATTTTCTATTTTGTTCCCACCTGTGATAACGACTTAGGATGTAAACACATTAAATATTGATTCAAGAATTAAATTATCAAAATATTATTAGGGGAAATAAAAGATGTAAATAAAGCGGGAGGAAGATTATGTTTGTGGTAGATCAATGTTATTAAGGTGTCATCCTCACTAAATTGATATACAGATTCAGTGCAATCCCTATCAACATTTTGCTGAAATTGACAAGCTGTAAGATTTATTTGGAAAATAAAAGGACCTAGAAAAGTCAAAACCACTTGCAAAATGAAGGAGAAAGTTGCAGGATTAACACTATCTGATTAGAAGACTTAAAATCTACAATAAATCAAGACAATGTGGTATTGGCATTGTGATCACCAAGTAGACCATGGATCAGAATAGAGCTTCCAATAAATCTACACTCTTATGCACAACTGGTTTTTGGCAAAGATGCAAAAGCAGTTCAGTTGTTCCAAGACAATTAAATATATTTGGAATAAAGTAAATACAACAAAAATAAAGGTATTTTTTCCACACCTTTTAATCAGCCATTCATACCATATTCAAAAATTAACTGAAAAATGGATCGTAAACTATAAAGAAGAGAAAGCCCTGTGACCTTCGATTGGGCTAAGCTATTTTGGATACAACACCGAAAGCATGATCCATAAAGAAAAAAATTGAGAAATTGGATTTGATTTAATATGAAAAACTTCTATTCTTTATAAAACAATTATAAGAATTAAACATGAGCCACAGACTGAGAGAAAACTATAAATTCTTGCCCATGTTTCACGCAGGCAATGGAAATGGGGCTCCCCTCAGTGGAATAGGCTGGCTGCAGAATAGAAGCTAAGAAAAATAGAATGATGAAAAAACCACAGGACACAGAAAATATTTTCAGAAAACAGAGGCAGGACAAGCTAGAAGATCATAGGAACTGAGCTTCTATATTAAAAACCAAAACGGAGCCCATGCTTGCTTTATTTATATCGGGGGACATCAAAGGTCTTCCATAGAATGTTCTTCACCAGAAAGGGTTATAGGTGGGCTGTCCAGTTCCCAGTGGGTTATGCCCATCTCCGAAGCAACCAGGAGATATCTTCCTAGCAGAGGAAGATAAAGGTCATGTGCCTTGAGCAATCTATTGTGCGGGAGAGCCAGGTTAAACCTAAAAACTCCCTGGCTTCTTGCCCAGAGAAGATCCTCATGGGTTTTTCAAGGATGGCTCCCCGCAATAAATCATATTTCTAGTAAAAGATTTGTATATAGAACATATAAACAACACTGAAAGCTCAATAGTAAGAAAACAACCAATATTTAAAATGGGGGAAAATTCAAACAGACTTTTCACCAAAGAGATACAGGTGGCAATAAGTACAATAAGATATTAAACATCATTAATCATCAGAAAAATGCAAATTAAAACCACAGTTGATAATACTGATACCTATTAGAATTGCTAAAATTGAAGAATTGCCATACCAACTGTTGATGAGGATGTGGAGGAAGTGGAGCTCTCATACACTGCTGATGGGAATGTGAAATGACACACATACTTTGGAAAATGAACTAGCAGTTTGTATAAAGTTAAATATGTGGTGCAGTCCTTCCACTCCTAGGTATTAATATTTAAAAATGAAACCCACACAGACTTGTATACAGATATCCATAGCAGATTGATCTCTAAACATACAAAAACTCAAAACAACCTACATGTCCGTAAGCAGGTGGAACAAGCTGCTAACCTTCCAATGGAGTACTGTTCTACAACACAAAGGAATGAACTATTGATACACGTTGCAAATGGATGAATCTTCATATTAATGATGCTGAGTGAAAGGAGCCACACTTACACACACACACACACACACACACACACATCACATGCTATATAATTACATTCATATAAAATTCTGGAAAATCCAAACACATTGTAGCAAAACGGAAATCAGTGGTTTCCTGGGATGGGGCAGGTGGGAAAGGACTGGAAGGATGGATTTAAAAAGGTCACACAGAAAGACTTCTGTGGGTACAGGATTTGTTAATTATCTTCACAGTGGTAATGGTTACAAGGTACGTATATATGTCAAAGTGTGCCAAACTTTACATTTAAAATGTTCATTTTGTTCTGTATCCATATTTCCGAGGTCCCCAAGGTTATCCACTTGTTTGGAGATTTACTAGGACTCCCAGCACTCGGTGAATAATTGTACTCATGGCTAACATTTACTGTAAGCAACACAGTAAGAATACAAAGTGGATTAGGAAGAATAAAGACATGGGGCAGAATCTGTAGGAAGCTGTGTACTGGCTTCCTCTGTTCTCCCCTCCCTTGAGCGAGAAGGCAGAGCACACATTCCCTCCGGCAGCAGAAACCTAGCTACAGATGTGCAGTGTGTATGCCCAGGGAAACCAGTTGAAAACTTCAGAGTTCATGGGTTTTACTGAGAGCTGGTCATGTAGCTACCCCTTGCCTACCAAAAATTTTGATTTTAAAAAATAAGTGGGTGTTTAATACCCCAAATAGGCAAAATAGCCTTAGCAGTGTAGGACATGTTTCACAGGCAAGTTCCCCAGCTAAGGGCCAGCCTTGCAAATGGTCCTTTTAAAAAATGACAGTCTTGGACCTGTACACTTTTTTTTTTCAGTCTGTACCTCAGTAAAGCTTTTTTTTTTTTTTTCTAATTGTAAAATTTAGAATTTGTACAAGACAGTTGTGATTAATTTATTGAAAAAGTGATAGAAATATAAAAATAATAGTTTCAGATTTGAGGGAGACTAGTGCAATGAGACTCTTCCTTACCTGGAACACTTCAGGCCCTTAAAGTCTCCTACTGGAATAAGGTAGGACATTAAGCTTAAGTGAAACTGGGGGTGCTTAGCTAGTGGGAGCTTCTAATTACTTTCTAATAGCAGGACTTCTGTTCCAATTGTGTTTGAAAATCTTTCCCAGCATATCACTGTTCTTCATTTCATTAAAAATTTGATAATCGGTATTTTAACCCTGGGTTACCCAATCGTGGTGACCCAGTTCAATTTTATAGCAAATAAAAGATAAAGCACTGGTGTCAAAATTATAATTACCTCAACAGCAGGAGTTGTTTTTTGATGGCCATGGCTCCAGCATGGGATGCATCTGCCCAAGGAAGTGTGCTAATTTGCATTCCAGTGCTGTGTGGGCTAGCAGAAGATGGCAATAGAGATGGTTTTCCTTGGAAATGCTGCCTGAAATTGACAAGCTTTCTTACGAACATTTCCCCTTAAAGAAGTACAGCAAATAATTTTCAGATGAGGGTGTGTTAACTGGTATTCCACCATGCATAACCATGTGGCAGGAAGAGTACCAAATACTTCAACACCTGTGTGAGGCATTTATGTTCTCTACTTTGGCCTGACTGCCTTGAAAGGCAGGTAATTTTTTTTTAAGGGTGTGTGTTTCTTTTTGTCACTGTGTAGGATGCCTACTATCCTGGGTCTGGATCCCATTATTAATGTCCCAGCCAAGATGTCTGTGTATATACAGCTGTAAATGAAAAGAAAGGACATTCCCATGGCTCCTCTGAGTGCAAGTTTTGCTCTTACTGAGTCATGAAGTTCCCTGAAGGGGAAGTAAACCTTCTCCCTTCAGAAGATACAAAGTATTGTTTGAAAGATTCAACTTTGAGACAAATGGAAAATATTCAATAGCCTCAACTTAGCTTCAAATAAGTGATTCAGGTATTGACACCTGCTTTCTATTAAGGCTTGAGCTTTAAACCAGCTGCATTTATACTAGTAGACGCTGAGGGTACTTAGTGGCCAAACCATAATGAATTGGGCTAGCAGTGTACCCACGGAAGGCTTCTGTTTAGAAATCTTCATCTTTTGAATCTGTACCACCAGCCCCTCCTATTCCTTCTGTGTGGGTCATGTTTCTTTCCTTGCTTCTTTTCCCTAACAAAACTTAAAACACATCTCTTTCCCCCTTTTGTAGATGCGAACCACACGTAAGGTTTCTGTCTGGCCAGTGGGCCTGGTTGGTGGTCGACGCTATGAACGTCCATTGGTGGAAAATGGAAAAGTCGTTGGTTGGTACACCGGCTGGAGAGCAGACAGGCCTTTTGCCATCGACATGGCAGGTGAGGAGTGTGATGGTGACATTTGTTCCTGCCTGATTGCCCTTAGGATGCTTCCATTTACAACAGGCTCCATGAAAAGGAGGCTTTAAAAGCCCAATTTGGATAAAATCCTAGATCATAACATATTCAGCAGGTAAAATATTTAAACATTCAAGATAGGCTTTTTGGTTAGTCCATGTGGAAATTGATTTTAAAAGTGATCAGAAAATGCTTATTCCTTTCCATTTTGCCACCTCTCTGACCCTTTATCTAACAAACATTTACAAGCCAGGTACTGGGTTGAGCATTGGGGTTTGGCAGTGAGAATCAGACCTGGCCCCTGTAAGCTGGAACCTTTTGGTGCCTCTCTCAAGAAGACTGATTCATATATTAAACACATACCAATTTTATTGATACCTTTAGTAATAACTTAAAATTGACAAGTCGTTTTAATGCTTATTGATAAATTTGATGCCTTATTGATACATTCATTAAGTAGCTAAAATATAAAATGGATTACTAGTTTTTTAAGCATTTCTTAGCTTCGAGTATAACTTTTTTTTTTAAAGAGAGAGAGAATTTTTTAATATTTATTTTTTAGTTTTCAGGGGACACAACATCTTTATTTTATTTTTATGTGGTGCTGAGGATTGAACCCAGCACCTCACGCATGCCAGGTGAACGCACTACCACTTGAGCCACATCCCCATCCCTTGAGTATAACTTTTATATTTTCATCCCAACCAACCAACTGAATTGAATCAGACCTTTAGTAGACCACAAGTTTTAAAATGCTATTTTATCAAAAAGTGACTCATTTTCTAGAGGTTATATAAAATGATGCCTGTGATTATTGTGGAAGGTTGTAGTTTGGAATATGAGGCTGAGAGCTGGGAAAAAAATCTGACATCCGTAACCTGGAAGATGAAGGCAGAAAGTCTTCAAAAATTGATCTCATCCATCACAGGGCTGCCTGTGTGTCAGCCTGTGCTTGCCCAAAACTTTGTGTATATTTCCCAACCACAGTCAAAATCTCTGTGCTCAGAATTTTGATGGATAAAGGCTGTGCTGTGAACTGGATTCACCACTTTTATTCTGATGATACTATAAATGGAAGGGAGCAAGAGTTGAAGAATGCGAGGAGTAAGTTGGGGGCCAAGCTCTCGTGAATGGCTGGGTGGTGGATCTGCCACACTGCATCATGAGAGGACGAAATAGGATGTCTTTACTTGGCATTTAACAGACATTTCCAGAGCACCTGCTTTTTGGGGAGTGTATATTGTGGTCTTTGATCCCCAGGGCAGTCTACATCTCTTGCTCTTACCTGGTCACCCTCTGCCATGTCCTTCATGCCCTGACCTCTCCATCCCTCTCACAACCAAAGCCATACCCTTGGTTTTCATATAGCCCCACAGCTAGGCTGGCTTCTCAGCCAAAACATTTACTTGGAGGCAGATGGAGCAGCCCATGAGTCATATTTGGAAGGTCTGATGACTCTCGAAAGAGGCCTTTCCAGTCTAGTCTATGGTTCTTAAAATATAAGGCTGATCATAATGTATCTTTTGAAAATTGAGTCTCTGGCTTGACTGCAGATAGCCTTGAGAAGAAAATTTAGAGAACATTAGAGTAAGTCTTTCTACTTCCCTGGGATTTAGTGTCCTGTGTGAAATAAGGAAATGGCATGAAATGACCACCAAGGTCTGCTAATAGATCCTTCCTCTTGCTAGTTTCCCACCTTGGGAAGAGCAAAGACAATCCAATATAAAGGAGCCAGTGGACAGATCTTTGGTCCTAATATTTCCCAAAGCCGCCACAATCGCTCCCCTCCCCCCCTCCTCCTCCTCTTCCTCCTCTTCCTCCTCCTCTTTCTATTTTTATTGTAATCATTAACACATATTACTTTGCTGTTTGAGATAGGATCTTACTACGTTTCCTGGCTGGTCTTGAACTTGTGGGCTCAAGTGATCCTTTCACCCTCAGCCTCCTGAGTATCTGGGATTACAGATATGCACTACCACACTCAGCTTGCACATATTAATTTTGCAAATTAGTGGAATTCGTCGTGATATTTTCACCCATGCATGCATTGTGTATTGATTATGTCCAGTCACTTGTATTCTATGCTTAACTGCTCCCTTCTTTCCCCCTTGCACTATCCCTAATAATCCCTCTTCTACATTCAGGTCATCTTTTCTTCATTTCTTTTTAATTTTCACGTATGAAATGTATGATACTTGTCTTTATGTGTCTGGCTTATTTTGCTTAACATGATGTCCTCTAGTTCCATACATTTTCCTGCAAATGACAGGATTTCATTCTTCTTTACGAATAATACTCTATTGTGTATATATACCATATTTTCTTTATCCATTCCACTATTGATAGAGACCTCAGTTGATTCCATATCTTAGCTATTGTGAATAGTGCCCCCAAAACATGGGTATGTATGTAGATATCTCTTTTATATGCTGACTTCATTTCCTTTGAATATGTAATCAGGGTTGGGATAGCTGAATCATATGGTAGATGTATTTTTAGTTTTTAAGGAATTTTGATACTGTTTTCTGTAGTGGTTGAACTAATTTACATTCCCACCAACAGTGTCTAAGTGTTTCTTTTTTCAACATCCTCACCAACATTTGTTATTTTTATGTTAGTTTGCCGTTCTAACTGTGGTGAGATGGTATCTTGTGGTTTTTATTTGCATTTCTTTGATAGCTAAAGATATTTTTTCACATATTTATTGGTCCTTTATAGTTTCTCTTTTGAGAAGTATTTGTTCAGATCATTTGGCCATTTTTAATTGGATTACTTGTTTTTTGTTGTTGTAAAGTGTGAATTATTTATGTATTGTGGATATTAACCCTCTGTCAGATGAATAGCTAGCAAACATTTTCTCCCATTCTGTAGGTACACTCTTCACTCTATTGTTTCCTTTGCTGTGCAGAGGCTTTTTAGTTTTATGTAATCCCATTTGTCAACTTTTGCTTTTGCTTCCTATCAGTCTTATTCAGGAACTCATTGCCTGTACCAATATCTTGAAGTGTTTCTCTTATATTTCCTCTGGTAGTTCCAGAGTTTCATGTCTTGCATTAAAGTCTTTGGCCCACATTGAGTTGATTTTTTGTGCAGGGTGAGGGATGGGGTCAAGTTTCTGTCTTGTATATGTGGGAAGTTTTCCTAGTACTATTTGTTAAAGAGGTTTGTTATCCATTGTATGCTTTGACACCTTGGTCAGCTGAATTTGTGTGGATTTATTTATGGGCTCTCTATTCTGTTCCATTGGTCTATGGGTCTATTTTTACTCCAATACCATCATGGTTTTATGATTGTGGGTTTATAATATGTCCTAAAATCAGAGATTGTGATGCCTCTAGCTTTGCACTTTTTGCTCAAGTTTGCTTTAGCTTTTCAAGGTCTTTTGCATTTCAATATGAATTTTAGGATTTTTTCCCTAGTTTTATGAAGAACATTACCAGTGTTTTGTTGGAGTACACTGAATCTGTAGATTGCTTTGGTTACTACGGACATTTAATCAGTATTCTTCTAAACCATGAACTTATGAGGTCTTTCCATCTTTCAGTGTCCTCCTTAATTTATTTCTTTAGCATATCATAATTTTCATTGTTTTTTTTTACTGTTTAAATTAAGTTTATCCCTGCCTATAGGGTGTTTTGTTGTTTTATTTCTGTGACTATTGTGAATGAGATTTCTTCATAATTTTGTAGCAAATTTATTATTGGTGTATAGAAAAGCTATTTATTTTGTATGCTCATTTCATATCCCATTACTTAACTGAATTCCTTTACCAGTCCTAATAGTCTTTTGGTGGGTCTTTAAGTTTTCCTATGTATAGAGTCATATCATCTGCAAAGATAATTCAACTTCTTACCTGTTTGTGTGCCTTTTATTTCCTAATTGCTTTAGCTAAAATTTCTAGCAATATATTGAATAAGTGTAGTAAGATTGGACACCCTTATTTTGTTCTTGATCTTAGAGGAAATGCTTTTACTTTTTTCTCATTCAGTATGATGTTGACTATGGGTTATACAACCTTTATTATGTCGAGGTATAGTCCTTCTTTAATACCTAAATTACTCAGGGCTTTTATTATGAAGGGATATTGAATTTTATCCAATGTCTTTTTTTTCTCCATCTACAATATGACATTTATTCTCTGTGTATCTCATATATTTATTGATTTGTATGTGTCAAACCATCCTTGCATCCCTGGAATGAAACCAATTTGATAATGGCCTATCTTGTTGATGTGCTATTGAATTCTATTTGCTAATATTTTATCTAGGATCTTTTTAATATATTTTTTATTTTTTTAGTCATAGATGAATACAGTATCTTTATTTTATTTATTTTCATGTGGTACTGAGGATTGAGGCCAGTACCTGACATGTGCAAGGCAAATATTCCACCACTGAGCCACAACCCCAGCCCCTTATTGAGGATCTTTGCAATTGTGTTCATCAGGGATATTGGTCTATAGTTTTATTTTTATTGTGTCCTTCTGAGGTTTTGTAACAGGCTAATGTTGGCCATAACCACTGTTTTTTGTTTGTTTTGTTTGTTTGGTACTGGGAATTGAACCCAGGGATGCTTTACCACTGAACTACACCCCCAGCCCTTTTTATTTTTTATTTTGAGACAGGGTCTTGCTAAGTTGCTAAGGTTGGTCTGAACTTACAATCCTCCTGCCTCAGCCTCCTTAGTCACTAGGATTGAAGGCATGTGCCACTGTGCCTGGCCCAAGCCTTGTTTTAACACAAACCCCAACACAGTTTTCCTTACACATGGAACATTGGCCCTAGGAGCAGAGTGCAGTTGGGTTTGGTAGTTGATGGGTGGATACACTACTCTGCCAACTCAGTGAGACCCTGGGATTTTCTACTAGTAGACTCTAGAACAGCTCAGGTATCTGACAGCTGGCTAAAAGTGAAGCAGTCCATACAAAAATTTTAGTTCCACTTTGAGGGCATGGAATTACTTTCAAGTGATAGACTCATTTT